TCCAATTTTTCATCTAAATCATTTGATCCCGAATCACCCTTTACTCTTTTTCTATGGATCACTTTCAACTGTCTACCTTACACACACTCCCCAAACTCATCCACTAAACCTTAGCAATTTTTTCTTTAGAATCTCCATGAGCTAAGTATCAACAAAAAGCAACTGTGGTCATATTCCCATTTTGTATTTGCTTCCCCAAAATTAATACCACCCCTCCCTCAAACACCCTAGCATTACTTGCTTACAACCCTAGCTATAAATGATTTTAAACAAGAACCTTGGTGACATTACACATCCATGTCTAAGACCTACTTTTACTGGAAGTAGTCCCTCCCTCTCTTTTCTACACACCCTAACCTGACCTCACTATACTTGTAAAAAACTCTTTACAGTAAAGCATTTATTAACTTCCCACCTATTCCATTACTTGCAACATCTGCCACATTGCTCCACCTCCATCCACTCATATTATAGCCTTTTCTAAAATCCCATAAATGCAATAAAAATTTCCTTCCATTAAGACTAAATACTGTTTCACCATAAATCTTCAATTGTAAAACACCTTGATTTCTACGCATCCCCTACCCACGACTGAACTCCTGCTCATCCGCAATCCTACATCTGTCTACCTCCCCCTAATTTTTCCTTTTTTTTCAATTATAACCCTACCGTACACTTTTCCAGTAAACTTATTCCTCTATAATTTTACAATCTCTTTTGCCCCCCTTCCCTTTATATAAAGGGACTAAAAATGCCTCCTGCAATTCATAGTAACCTTCCCCTCTTTCATACATTTATTAAACAAAAATACCAACCACTCTAAACAACTATATCCCCCCCTGCTTTTAAACACTGTCTGTCATGATCCCGTCAGTTCCAGCTGCTTTATTTATACCCCCTTTATTCTATGTAATGCCTCTCACTTATTCCTTGCCGTCCGCACACTCCACATCCTGTTCTTCTTCACTCCTAAAAGATGTATACCTCCCTGGTCAGGCATGAAATTACCACTTCCCTTTCTTTCGTCAAAAATTCTCGCCCATCTACCCAAAAACCTCACATCTCCCCATCCTACTAACCTCCCCTACTCTGGTTTTTAACTGACAAATCCATTCTTTCTCAAGGCTTTCTAACTTGTTTAACTCCACTGCCAATAATTTTTCTTATTTTCATAAAATTCTTGACAGTGCCTCTACCGCCACTCTATCATCTTGCTCTGGAAACAAAGCCAGTGACTGCCTTCAGCAACCACTAGATCCAGTATACTAATTAATGCGCAAAGAAAAAAAAATTTTTTTTTTTTTTGCAAATGTACAATCTATACCCTTTCAGGGGTCCTCCCGTAATCTACGGCAGGTCGGTGAGTTTCCCTAACCGTAGATCTCCCGCGGCAAAATTCAGCGCCGTCAAAAGTCTTAGCGCGAAAGCGCTCAATAGGCCTACATTATGAGCGAATAGGGTCTGCGCCGTGGGTGTGCGCCAAAAACAAAAAATCTAGGCGACCTCATAGCAATGTGGGAACGGCCGGCTCAGTCCACCCTTGTTACACCATGCCCGACGCAAGTCAGCTCTCACGTCCCCCCCGGAAAATGGGACTCTCCTCTTCCTGTCTGATAGTTTCTGACACTGATGGAAGTGGAAATGAAGACGAATTCTACGGCTTTGATAAGTTAGTGACCGAAAATAATGACCGGGATATCGATAATAGTGCAGAAAACCCCGACGATCTCAAACCTTCCAACCTCTGGTGTGGGCCTCGTGACTCACCGTTGGGTTTCCTAAACGTAAGAGAAAACTAATATTTTCCCGTGGCCTGGCCTCTGACTTCAGTAAGGGACGATGATTCTGACGTGGATTGTGTTTTTATTGCACTCAAACGATCATTCGAGTAGTGATAGTGACGAAACATATTCACCAGTGAAGCGTCGGTATGTCCGCCGCCGCATGCGCTGGGGAAAGTGTACCCTAGCTGTGCCCAGGGGACGGAGTACATCCGGAGTACATCCCGTGGCCCTACACCCGTTTTGGGTAGTGATAGTGAGGATGATGTGGCTACACTTGGCAGGGATGGGCCACAGACATCAGTGGATGGTGTTAGTGGGCTGGTGGTGGTAGTGGCAAAGGGCATGCTGACTCGCTGTGCCACAGGGAACCCACCTGCTGACTCGTCATTCAAGGGACAAAGCGGAGCGTCACCCACCAGCCCCACAACCACCCGTACAACCACCTATGATTCCAGTATCCACCACAAACCGTATTGGGGATTGGCAGCAAAATCCCAATTTTGTTCCCAGCCCTCCCCAATTTGATGACTCGCAAAGTGGAATTCTACCTACCGTCCCCTTGGAACCACGGCCCAATGAACGGGAATCTTGATTATTCTTTGAAAAAGCCTTTGATGAAATTATTTCAGGGAAAAGTAATAAGTATTTTCAGTACCATGCAAATACGATCTATCACCACGTCAGAACGGGAGGAAAGAGACGATGTTGCAGAAATGTATTTTCTTTTTGCAACAATAATGCTTATGCCTCACGTCTATAAGCATAATATAAAAGCATACTGGTCCACAGATCGGCAAATTTGAAACCCCATCCTTCAGGGGAAATAATACCAGTGAAACAGGTTTTATCTTACTGTTACGGTAGTTTGCATTTCTCTGACAAAACCAGGCCTGACAGAATTTGACAGGTTATACAAGATTAAAATGTTTTCAATGTATCTCAAAAAAAAGTTCAGGATTTATTTTTATCCATTAAAGAATCTTGAAATTTGACGAGTCTTTGATTTTGTTCAAAGGTAGACTGTCATTCAAGCAGTATATAACCGAGCAAGAGGAACCGCTTTTGGTAAAAATTGTTTGTACTCTGTGATTGTGGGCAGTGGCCTGGTGTTGGATATTGTTGTATACACGGGTAGTAAAACATTGAAAAGATACCAAGATGTTATTGGGTATATCAGTGACGTAGTGAGAAACATGATGGCACCTTATCTTGGTAAGGCCATACATTATATACCGATAACTGGTACACAAGCCCATTACTCAGGATTTCATCGAGTGAACAAGGCAATGTGTGTGGCACAGTGCGTTCTAATCGTAAACATATGCCCAGGCTCAACGCAGTGTTCGTGGGGGATGACGTGCAGGTGTTTACTGCCAATGATATCATGGGATTACGGTGGCATGACAAACGAGATGTCACATTGTTGACAACCATTCACCGTAAGAAATGGGAAGACAGTGGCAAAGTTGATCGAGTGACCAATGAATGTATTTGAAAACCAGTGACAGTGATTGATTAACACAAAACATGCGCTTGGTTGACAAGTGTGACATGCAGATTGGTTTTGTTGACTGTGTTCGTAAGAGTTACAAGTGGTACATGAAACTTTTCTTCCATCTCATGGACATTTCAAGCGGGAAAGCATATAATAAAGTACCAAATAAAGACTGGTAACAGGACCACCGTATGGTGAATTTTTTTGTCTGTTGTCAGACAACTCATAATGAAGTACCCCGGCAACAAAACCTGCAATACAACATGGTCCTCGAATTCATCACAATATACCCAAGCGTTTGAGAAGAAGGGGATCATTTCATAATACAAACTTCCTTCAACTCAAAAGAAATTTGCTCAGAAAATGCATTGTCTGTGCACAAACAAAACGACGGCAACAAAGACGCAAAGACACTCGGTTTAAAGTGTGAGGAATGTAAGGTACCTCTGTGCATGGTGCCTTGTTTCAAGGAGTTCCACAAGCTCCAGCAGTTCTAAAACCATGTCCAGTGATTGTAAATATGTAAATATATGATAGAACATTAGTATTATACAATATTTGTGCATGTTTTATTGTAATAAAAACAGTGGTAAACAATAAATGATAATAACTTTAGTGGGGGTTATTGTGTTCAATACAGTGAGTATATATTTTACAATTAAAATAGAGTATTGGTCTCTCAGCCCCAAATGTTAGTAGGAATAGAAAAAAATTGGAAAAGAAAAGAAAAAACAACTAAAACAACAAAATAACATAATACGCGTATGTGGAATTCGTCGATGTTGCCGCCACCACATCATTTTCTACAAACTTCTTGGCACTGTATCTCGGTAAGTACTGATCAGATTCTAATTTTTTTTGTTTTATTACCTTCACAAAAATATGCTCTTTAATTCTGTAAGAAAAAATAATTTTTTTTTTTTTCAAAATTTCTTGGACACTGGTGCGTGACTTCAGATTTTGGCCTTGGACCCTGAAAGGGTTAAACAAAGCAATGAAAATAAAAATGCAATTATTAGTGTATTCTTCAGAGGCAATCAAATGCAATGCTTACAGCTTTCAGAGACTTATATTAGAAACCATTTTAACAAAATTGGAATATCTGGGTAAAATCTACTTAGATGTGACAACAAAAAAAAAAAAAAAAAAAAACACACAGGAGGGTTGGTCTTTATGTCAAAAGACATTAATTTGCACTGAACTAATTGACAGTCAAGGTTTTGAATAAAAATCATTTAAAGATAAGCTATTAAAAATCAAACATCCTTTAAAATATTTCAAATCTGGTCCCAAACATCCTGTTGCTCAGCATTTCAATTCAAGACTCCTAAAATGGAAGAATACACCACCTGGAGAATACAAGGCAATTAGGTTTGGTCTGAAGTGAAGGGTAGCTCCAATTCTTTGAATCAAGACACCAATTCACTAAGAAATGGTTTCCAACCATGTACCATGTTTTCAGTCATTAATAAACTAGCTTTTGACACTAAGCAACATGAACAAAACCATGACACTAAGTCATTGATTTTCCAGTTTTTCAGTTAATTTGAAAATTTTTAAAAAGATATAAAATTTACAATTAGAAAAAATTGTTCTTCATATTCTGTTTTACACTTTTTTATTTTACAAATAAAGCTCACAAGTAGAAATGGGACGAAGTCATATCTATAAATCCCAAGTTACTAAAATACTTTTATCCTTCCATCCAACCAAGTACTAACCTTAACAGCAATTTCATTGATCTTTTCTATTGCCAAATTTGTAGCACGTCGAAAAGCTCTGATAATAGCATGTGGGTGGACGCCCTCCTCAATTAAGGTTTTGCACTGTTCCAAGAACTGCCCAGCCAGCAACACAACAGTAGTAGTGCCATCCCCAACCTGAAAAAAAATTATTTCAATATCAGCAACCCATATGAGGTACAGGTACAACAACAAAGTATATACAGTGCTATGTTAGTTTCATGCCAAAATTTACACCAGTTATCCTCACACCATCTTCTCAGCCATCTGCATTATTTTCACTAAAGCTCTACAGTTTCTATAACTCAAAGTTCTTCTGAGTCACCACCATCACTCAGAGCATTTTACACTTCATCTCTCCAGCATACAGAGGTAAGCAAAATTACTGTAAATTATATAGGGTACTATAAAATTACTGCACAGTATAATACTGTACTATAGTACTACAGGTTACAATACCCATATTCTTATTGTTTGGTCATCTCCATTAGAAGACCAAGTCCGCTACTTCAGAAGACAACCAGATATACCTATACCTTTGATATACCTTTAACGAGTTTCAAATCTTACTACTCTCGGAACTTGGCCATGGGCCAGGCTTGTCCGAATGATCAATAAGTATTACTTTCATAGTTTGGGAGTTACAGACAATTGGCATTATCATACACCCCCTCCCCCATTAGTCCGTTAACGAGAGGTTTTACTGTATTACTGGAAGTATCAGAACTTTAAATTCCTATCTAGTGGAGTTTAACTGAATTTCCTTAACCCCACAAAGGATATTGCATTAAAATAATTGTCTGTACTATACTTTATATTGTGAATATAATATGCAATAGCAATAAAAATCCTCACCTCAGCATCCTGAGATTTTGCAATATCTACTAAAATTTTTGCTGCAGGATGAACAATATCTAACTGCTTCATTATTGTTGCTCCATCATTGCTGATTGTTGCTTGTCCCTGGTGAAAAAACATCGATATAAATTCCATGTTACCATAAAAAATGTGTGGTTTTTATTTTTAATATTCAAACTTTTACAGAAAAATATTCTAAATTAAACAAAAATTAATAGCAATACTGCTTCATGAAAATGTTTTTTTTTAATTCAATTTGGTACCATCTAGTACTATAGTGGATAATAAGTAACACAAGAAGGGGCATGTAGGAATAAACCAAATATGAAGTGCTACATGTAATGTACAAGTCAGGAAATTATTTAAAATATTTTTAAGATTTCTGCAGGATATTTAAAAAAAAAAAAAAAAAAGTATGGAGGATAACTGCAAGATCTACCTTATAACAGTAGTTTATTGTATAAAAGTTCATGACTGCATGACGCATACCTTGGTATCAACAATGAGTTTGTCCATACCACGTGGCCCAAGAGTAGTCCGGATGGCATCGACAACAGCTGCACAAGCATTGATGTTCGAGATTAACTGTGGTTTGCCTTGGGAGGAGTCTGTCCCCTCTTTCATTAATATAATCTGGGGTTGCTGTAAATAAAAATATCCAGGTATCCAAGATCAATGCAATTATAGGCACATTACATAAAAAACAGCTAAACTTAATAGAAGCTGGAAACGAAATTTTTTACATGAACTTGTAACAAAATTGTTTTGGCTCCAAGTGATAATTTACATACAAGAAGATTTTTCTAATGAAATAGTGTACTGTATACTACAGTATAATGCATTATTAATTAATATTTTTTTAACAGCCATCTCACACCTAGGTAGGGCAGCTCAACACGAAGGAAAACACTTTCCCTGTGTGAAACCGACAGTGCACTCAGCTCTCACACCATGTGTCCGTGGTTCAATCCCTGATATGTCAAGTAAGAGGGTGTTACTTGACTGTTGTGGGTCACATCTTGGGGACAAAATTAAAGGACCTCAAAAGAAATAAGATAGACAGTCCCAGGGATGATGATGCACTAACTTTAATGGCTTATCCTGGATGACAAACTCTCCAGGTTAAAAATCCAAACAAAATCTTATCTCTTCCTTCAATCACTGTTTTGCCAAAACCCCCAACATCCCCATTTCTCCTTCAGAGTGCAGGCACTGTACCTCCAACCTTCCAGCCTCAAGCCCAGCAAAGTGGTTTCTCTGAATTTCTTCATAAATGTTACCTTGCTCACACTCTAATAGCCCATTAGATCATAAAAACTACTTGTCTCCATTCACTCCTATCTAACATATTCACAAAAGCCTGTTGGATGTCCAAGCCTCTAACACTCAAAAATAAAAAAAAAATAAAGTATCTTCCACATTCTCAGGTCCAATATGAATGGCTGGGAACCCAGGAATATTAAATTCAGCAGTTAAATGCTGCTCTAACCAAGTTTAGCAGCTGGAATGAGTATACAATACTGTACACATTTAACCCTTTCAGGGTCGACAGGCCCTCTCAGAGACTTGTTCTCAGGGTCGGCCAAATTTCAAAAAAAAAAAAAAATTATTTTTTCTTATGAAAAGATAGAGAATCTTTTCCCGATCATAATGACACCAAAAGTATGAAATTTGATGGAAAACTTACGGAATTATGCTCTCGCGAAGTTAGCAGTCTCGACGATGTTTACGCATCGGCGATTTTGCCCACTTTGAGCCCTATTTTCGGCCAATTCCAGAGTACTTGTCGACAAAAATCATAACTATTTCACTAGAACTCCATTTTTTTCTATCGAATGAGCACAAGAAACCACCCATTTACCGATTTCAACTATCCAATACAGTGGTCAGAATTTAGCAATTTTGCCAATTTCACACAAATTTCAAAAGATGCCAATTTTCGAATAGGGTCCAGAATAAACAAGAAAGACATTCCTGGCACTAAAATAACATTTCCTCTGTTCATCAGTCATGTCCCCATGCCCCTCTTACATTCTTTTGCTTTCCACTTTGAATTTTTATTCTCACAAATAAATAGAAGATTTACTGTTATGTAGCCTACTGCATTGGTGTAGAAATGGTATAAATAATATCAGCGCACTTGTGAAAGAATATTAGACTTACCAGTTGACGTGTATTGGACGCATAGCATGATTTGTTTACTTTTGAACTTTGGTAAAAATAAAAAAATTTTGCTAATTTGATCGCAATTTCAAGGTAGTTTCCTTTGTAAAACCAGTCAAAATCATCTCAACTTCTGTAATATGTCTTCCATTCTATAAAATGAGACCAGGAAAACTAGAATACAATAATAAATACCATACGAAAATACAGTGCAAAGTCGCTGGTTTAATCCAAAAACACGGTCAAAGTTTTTTTTTCTCATTACGCACTGTGTGCTGCAGGATTTTTTTTAGACCGCGCACACTGACCACATAGACCAATTCTTTCATATGTAGGCCTACCAGCTTTCTCTCACTAGATTTGAGGGCACTAGAATTTAGGCATACTAGTACGTCAAAAACCCTGGTGCGTAAGCCGTACTAGTACGGCCGAAACCCTGAAAGGGTTAATGATTCCAGCAGTGCAATAACACTGTATTCACTTTAAGATCTATTATTATAGATGATTACTATACAAATATACTGCTGTTTAGCAAGATTTTGATCAGCAGGGTAATGACATAAGAACAGTGGAGCATTGCAGGCCTACTAGCCCATGTTGGACAAGTTTAACTTGTACCCAACCACACCTACTCATGTACCAGTTCAGCCTATTATAATTACCCAAAGTTCTTGCTTCAGTGACATTACTTAGGAGTTTGTTCCACTTATCTTCACTCAATAATCAAACCAGTGTTTTCCTATACAGTAGGGGGCCCCCCTTATATGGCAGTTGGGTTCCAGGCTACTCCCAGAAAGCAGAACACCATTTTTTTTCCACTTATAAATTTTTATACTGTAAATGCCAGATAACAATTTTACACTAACATATATTAAGTTAGAAACAGAACTAGGCATTAAAAACAATAAAAAGTAAAACACACACACACACACACACACACACACACACACACACACACACACACACCACACACACACACACACACACACAAACCCCTATAGACCTGTGTCATTGACGTGTATAGTATGAAAAATTATGGAGAAGATTATCAGAGGAGAGTGGTGGAGCACCTGGAACGGAACAGGAGTATAAATGCCAACCAGCACGGATTCACGGAAGGCAAATCCTGTGTCACAAACCTTCTGGAGTTTTATGATAAAATAACAGAAGTAAGACAAGAGAGAGAGGGGTGGGTTGATTGCATCTTCTTGGACTGCAAGAAGGCCTTTGACACAGTTCCTCACAAGAGATTAGTGCAGAAGCTAGAGCATCAGGCGCATATAACAGGAAGGGCACTGCAATGGATCAGAGAATACCTGACAGGGAGGCAACAACGAGTCATGGTACGTAATGATGTATCACAGTGGGCACCTTGACGAGCGGGGTCCCACAGGTCGGTCCTAGGACCAGTGCTATTTTTGGTATATGTGAACGACATGAAAGGAAGGGTTAGACTCAAAGTGTCCCTGTTTGCAGATGATGTGAAGTTAATGTGGAGAATTAAATCTGATGAGGACCAGGCAGGACTTCAAAGAGACCTGGACAGACTGGACACCTGGTCCAGCAAAATGGCTTCTCGAATTTAATCCTGCAAATGCAAAGTCATGAAGATGGGGGAAAGGGGCACAGAAGACCACAGACAGAGTATAGGCTAGGTGGCCAAAGACTGCAAACCTCACTCAAGGAAAAGATCTTGGGGTGAGTATAACACCGAGCATGTCTCCGGAAGCACACATCAATCAGATAACTGCTGCAGCATATGGGCGCCTGGCAAACCTGAGAACAGCATTCCGACACCTTAGTAAGGAATCATTCAAGACACTGTACACCGTGTATGTCAGGCCCATACTGGAGTATGCAGCACCTGTTTGGAACCCGCACTTGATAAAGCACGTCAAGAAACTAGAGAAAGTAAAAAGGGTTTGAAACAAGGTTAGTTCCAGAGCTAAGGGAATGTCCTATGAAGAAAGATTAAGGGAAATCGGCCTGACGACACCGGAGGACAGGAGGGTCAGGGGAGACATGATAACGACATATAAAATACGGGCGTGGAATAGACAAGGTGGACAAGGACAGGATGTTCCAGGGAGGGGACACAGAAACAAGAGGCCACAATTGGAAGTTGAAGACACAAATGAGTCAGAGAGATAGTAGGAAGTATTTCTTCAGTCATAGAGTTGTAAGGCAGTGGAATAGCCTAGAAAATGACGTAGTGGAGGCAGGAACCATACACAGTTTTAAGACGAGGTTTGATAAAGCTCATGGAGCGGGGAGAGAGAGGGTCTAGTAGCAACCGGTGAAGAGGCGGGGCCAGGAGCTAGGACTCGACCCCTGCAACCACAAATAGGTGAGTACAAATAGGGGAGTACACAACACACACACACACACACACACACACACACACACACATACACACACACACACACACACACACACACACACACACACACACACACACACATTATTTACCTTAATATATTTGTAGTCTTAAATGTAGGGTGAGAGGCAAGTTTTATTTGTAGGAAGTCAGGCTTGGGATGTATGGTAGCCAGCCAGAGCAGCCCTCACTACCCCACCCCACCCACACGTAATGTAAACAAACCAGGTGAACGAGTCTAGTTTTCATCACTTTGCATTGTGTACAAGTTGTCTCCACATTGATATAGTAGAATAAATAAAGAGAAACACTCCCATTCTCATGTAACACCATTTTTAGAAGAAATGACACTGAGCGAAGGCATACACGAAAGGAATAATTTTCTAGTTACCCCCAGTAATATTATAGTGTACACATTTTCTCTGATGTTGGACTACAAGTCGCCTGGCTACCACATCTCATATTTATGTTAATTTATTCTACTGTGGGGTGTATTTATCATGTTTATGTGTTACGCAGCGTGTTTATTACATAATTCTGGAAAAAATATCATAGATGGATTAAAGGAAATGTCTACATTAACGTAATATATGGTATTTAATGCTCCCAAGAGATTACATATTATTAATATGGTGTCAAGTGTACAGAGACTCTTAGTGATTTTAATGTGTACCTGCATGCCGGCACTGTATAAGTATATTTAAGTACAGGTACACACAAGTATAATTATCAGAGTATATATAAAATACACAATAACTTTAAACACTTAAAACTTTGGAAAAAATTTCCAGAAATAATAGAGATGTGGGGTGCACCATATTTGAAAGACAGCTCACCGTATAGCAAATTTTGGTCGTAATTTGAAATCGCCATATTAGCAGAACACCATAAGGCAAAAACGCCATAAAATGGGGCCCTACTGTATAGTGTATATCCTTCTTGAATCTAAATTTGTCTAATCGATTCATGGAAGTCTTGTTTCAGTTGGATACTTTCAGCAATTTTCCATATATACACCTCAATTGTATACCTACTAATTCTATATCTTTTCAGAGAAAATTCAGTGCCTTCAGCCTATCTTCACAGGAACATTTTTGATACA